GTGACTGCCACACAGCAATGTCTGTGAGCATGGCGCAGGACTGCACAGTGTTTTGTTATGTTGTATTTATGGTAGCTAAAAGTCGGGACCAACTTGACGGCATCTAACAACAATAGGAACCTAGTGATCCACTCAGGTCACAGGGTTAGGAAAATAGCAAGGACATGGATTTATTGTTGCCACTGACTTTGCTCTGTTTTTGTCTTTTTTTTAACTACCTTTCCCTGTCGTTACTTGCCCTCGGACAACAAATAAAATCTTCTTTAGTCTAGATGGATTTACTTATTGTAATATTTTATATAAGTGGCACCACATAATATGTCATTTCCAATGTAGCTCAACTCATCTAATGTCATGTTTCAAAGTTCATCCAAGCAGTGGTGGGTAGCAGAATTTCATTTCTCTTTATGGCTGAATATTCTGTAGTATGTGTATATTACATTTCATTTATCCATTCACCTATTGATGAGCATTTGAGTTATTTGCACCTTTAGCTATTATTATGAATAAAGCTTCAATGAAATTTGTGTGCATGTGTCTGAGTCACTGCTTTGAATTACTTGGGATTTTATACCTAGGGTGGAAATGCGGGGTCATATGGCATATTCGTGTTAATGTTTTTAGGAAGTACTCAACTTGTACCGGACCAACAAATGAACCAATGGAATAGAATTGAGGATCTCTAACCTTGATGGGTCTAGTTTCATTTTCTGTTTATACTTTTCTCAATGTTGCTATTGTAATTAGTTACCGCAATCACTCTGGGGAATAAGACAAGAATGGAATGAATGGCAGAAGTATACATACACAAATATGTAAACTGAAAATGTTAAATAACCACCCCACCCCCAAAAAAATACCATACAATCTGACATGTACATATACCCTAAGATCCTAATAGCTTAAATAACTGCCTGGTTACCCGGAATTGGAGATAGTTAAGTCCCCTGTTATCTCCAAACTCCTAGAAAGAGTTACTCTGCTGGGCAGCCTGTTTCAGAAATGAAGCTTAAAGCAACAGTTCTTTCTTACTCTCTATCAGTCAGTTGGTGGAACCAAAGGAAAATATGGAAGTCAAAACAGAAGGTCAAAAATAGAAAGGTTCCCTTGGGTTGTTTAGTTTTGGATGTTTCTAATCACAAATCACACTGTACAGATGCAAGAAGATGAACCTTTCTGTCTTTTATAAATGAGAAAAAGGCAGTATCACCAAGAATCAATATCTCTAAATTATCTAAAGTCCTAAAATCCTTGGTGGTGTAGTGGTTTGTGTTGGGCTGCTAACCACAAAATCGGCAGTTCAAACCCACCAGCCCCTCACAACATAAATGATAGAAAACTGAAGTAAGTATGTATGTAGCCTAAGTCTATGCCTACACCTGCGCATGTACCATCACCTCAAAAATGCTACATTGAATTATGGTACTTCAGATTATGTTTGAATAAGTAAATTGTTGGATGAATGTCTGAAGTCATTCTTATTTCATACATTTCATTTATTTCTTATCCATTGCCTTCCATAACAAACAGTGTGAATCAAGACCTTTGGCTCTACACCTAACACTTGAACCAAACATGGGAATAAATTTTGTTAAGTATCTAAATCAAAAACCTAAGTTTTGACACCCTTACAGTTAGTTTGGTTCAATAAATATTTGAGTCTGAATCTTAAATTCAATATATTATGCAAGAGAGAAGAGCCCTAGTAGCATAGTAGATGCACTTGGGCTGCTAACCACAAAGTCAGCCAGTCACTCCAACAGGATAAAGGGGAGGTTTTATACTCCCATAAAGTTACAGTCTTGGAAATGCACAGGACAGGTCTACCCTGTCCTATAGGGTCACTATGAGTTGGAATCAACTCGATGGCCATGAGTGTGTGCAAGTGAGAAATGCCAATATAAGCACTGCCTTCAGTCAACAAATTCTTACCCTGTACATTACCAGCTTCAAAAATTAAAAAACAATTTCCCAAATCAGCAGTCATTAAAGTGGGAACCTAGAAATCAAAGCAAGAAGAAAGATGGAATGAGGTTAACACAGCAGCTAGATCAAACAGGGTAGGTTAACACAGCACCTAGATCAAGCAGGAAAGGTAGTGAGGGAAGAGAATGAGGTAATTCTTGTTTCACACATGCATTTTTACCATATCCTTTTTCCTACCCACCCCATACCTTTTACATACTACTTATTTCCTTTTGTTTGTTTTATTTTGTTTTTCATCTTCCTTATCTTTCATGTTCCTAACCTTTATTTCATTACTTAACTTCTTTCCCTCACATGATTCTTCTGCCGTCTCTGTTCTGCCCTCCTCTCATTATCTCTCTCCATTTTTCGCTTTCTGGATTAACCATTAGAAGTCTTATAGATAAAGAATTGGGAATTGTTAGGAATCCAATTAGGTGCCCAAAATAATATATATCATACTCCTAGCCCCTAAAACTGTGGGTATGATTCTGTTTGGAAACTGGGGCTTTCTTTTGTCATGTTAATCAGGGCATACCAGAGCAGGGTAGGTCCTAAATCCAAGCACTTCTGACATAACATTAGCACAGATTCTTCCCATTATTTATTAAGAATTTCCAGTGCTACTCTCCTAGCTCAAATCATCATCTTTTATCACCTGAGATACCACAACAGTCCTTTGGCTCTAGACCTAAGACTCCCCTTAGGAAAACACCCAAAACAGCTGCCAAAGTGATCTATTTCATTTAAAAGTCAGAGCATTTCACTCTCCTGTATAACCCCTTCATTTTGTTCAAAGAAAAAACACAATCCTTAACTATGGCCTACAAGATTCCAAGATCCGTTTCTTCATTACTTTCTAACCTCATTCCCTGTATGCACCCTCTGGCTATAATGTACTTGCTCAGGAAATATAAGTAAGTGGTTTACAAAGACTGTAAAAGAGAAGCACGTCTAGACTGCGCAAGGAGGTCTGAGTGGAAGGGAATATCAGAGTACAATCTTCTGAGTTTTAAAGCAAAAGAAAAGAGCCTTTTCAATGACTTTACAGATAGTTCCTGAAAGTGCTCTCCAGGAAACCTGAAAAGTCTATTTTTCATTTGCAGACAAGTATAATAGGACTTGCATATTAACAAGAGCAATACCTTGTTTTATCAAACTGAAATTAATTCTTGTATACACTTCTCAGCTAGACGCAGTTTCTCAAACATTTCCAGTGGATTACTCTCTCACTTACCATAGAGGTCACTGATCGTGCATCTTCTTCATAATTGACTACTGGCGGTGGCTCCTTCCCATCGTTTTCTTGCACTTTTTGCTCTAGTAGTTCCTTCTGCGCTGCAAACTTGGCTTCGGTGCATCTCAACTGCTGGACTGACTGCTTCAGCTCCTCAAGTGTCTGCTTTTGGCTCAGTAGAAGCACAATACTAAAAACAGTATATGAAAAACAAATTATTTCAACTTCATTACCAAAAAATACAACTTGAAATAATATATCTACATATTATGCTTTTGTTTTCTTTTTCTCCCTTTTTTTAAGAGTCATATGGAAGCATAAGCAATACAAAACCAAGATTTTAAGTCATCACAATAGTTAACTGTTAGCATTAACAAAATATAAGGTCATGGTTGGAAACAAAAGTCAAATGTAAGGTGTTTTCCAATATATTATGACTTATAGCACTCAGGTATACTTGTTAGTTGGCAAGTTCTTTTTAAAATAGGGAATTCTGAGTTCTCAATGAATCTCTTCAGGAAAGGCTGACTTTTAAAATAATCATTTAACAAATTTAAAGTTCCAGATCTTAGAGAAGATAAGCCTCAAAATGCACCTGAACCTTCCTCCCTGAAGGTTCTTGGTTGGCATCTGCAGGAAGAGCGGGAGTGAAGGGGGTGGGGGTGGGGGGTGAGCAGTACAGAAACAAGACTCTAAGATAAAAATGAGCAAGGTAAGATGGCTTTATAGATTGAAGTATCAAATGGATTGTCCCTAAAAATACAGTTTGTAAGTCCTCACCTTTCTATCTTTGGCTCTGAACCCAGTTGGGACTGTGTTGTCTTTGTTACAGTGAAAAGGGAGCAATAGGGTAAACTATGTCTTAAATCAACCTCTTCTGAGAGGTAAAGCTAGTGACAGTACACGGCATGCCCTGGGAGGTCTCCAAGGAACCAAGAAACAGAAGCTGAAAGGAGACCAGTGTCTTCCCCTAGAAACACTGGTGGGAGCAGCTTTCCTAGAGCCTGAGAGCATCCTGCATTCAGACGCCTATTATCAGAAACCATGAGAAAATGAAGGTATGCCTACGAAGACAGGCACATAGTAAATTACATTTTCATTTATACGTGCGGATTAGTCTAGTAAAAGCTGTTATTTCACACATACAGGCAAAATCAACAGAAAAGTATACTTGAAAATAAAAACCCTCTAGAAGCATTATTGTTACTAGTAGTTATTTACCACTAAATTTTATAAAGACTTGAAAAATGGGTATTATAAAAGCTTTGCAAAAATGAAATAGAAAATAGCTAACAGGCATAATAATTTCAAAAAAGGAAATATAAACAACATGCAAACCAATCCAGGAACATTAATTTTGCAAGATAAAAAGCATGCATGTTACTCTGATCTTAATCCTGTGGTAGGCTGAATAATGTCCTCCCTCTCCAAGAAGACCACATCATTTTCTCAGAACCTTACATGGTAAAGGGGACTTTTCAGATGTGACTAAATTAAATATTCTGAGATGAGAGCTTATTCTGGATTATCCAAGTGCACCTAATATAATAAAAGGATGCTTTATAAGACAGAGGCAAGAGAGATAATGTCAGAAAAGTCAATATGACAATAGAAGCCAAAAAAAAGTACGCTCAAAAACACTTTAGGAAACAAATGGGTTGAGAATTTGTCGTGCTTCCTAATATCCCAAGAAGAGAATCGCTAAGACTGTATTTTATTCTGAAGGGGCAGAGAGCTTCACTGTTCATATGTACGGAAGATTGGTACTTAATTTTAATAGAGCAGAACCGCCCCCCCCCCCCAGCAAAAAAGAAGAAGAAGCAAAAGGAGAAAGGGTGGTGTGATGTGGATGGAGAACCAAAAACTGAAAAATGAACTAGAGAGTGGAAAAGACAAGGAGTCAATTAGCTCTTAAAGCCTCCGGAAGGCACCAGACTTATCAGCCTCTTGTTTGTAGGCCTGTAAAATACATTTTGGATTTCTGAGCCCCAGAAGAATGGATACATTTGGATGATGGTGTTAGGAAATAATATTCAAAGTACCATGAGCTGTCCACCCACCCAAAAAAAACTACAAAAATTTTATTTATATATATGAAGAAATACTGACAGAATGCCTCTTAGAATTAGGATGGCAAGACTTCATCTCACATACTTTGGACATGTCTTGGACGGGTTATCAGGAGAGATCAGATCCTGGAGAAAGATACCATGCTTACTAAGGTAGAAAGTCTACGAATAAAGAGGAAGCCCCTCCGAGAGATGGACTAACACAGTGGCTACAACAATAGGTTCAAATACAACAACAATTGTGGAAGTGGTATAGGACCAGCTATTGTTTTGGTCTGTTGTACTCAGCGTCTCAGAGAGTCAGAACCCACTTGTCAGCACCTGATACCTAACAAGACTAGAAGGGGTTTTACAACTAAATAGGACTGGCTCCAACTAAAACTACAGATGTAGGGAGAAGAAAAAATAAAGAATTCGAAGCAAGATTCAGACAGGAAGAAAATTACTATTAAATGAGCAATATGAATTAGTTTTAGCTTCACAAAATCAAAGTAAATAAGATTGAACCACCATAGAAAAATTGTAGTTAAAAATATATACAAGAGGTTTATCTGTAGAAGTGTATGATATGTGAATATTATATCAAGAAAACTACTTTTTTAAAAAGCAGGAGGATGAACAACAGAAATGTGGGTAAAAGGAGACAGCAGTCAGTGTAAGGAATGAAAACAATAATTCATAATTTATCCAGGGGTCACAAGGGTGGGAGTGGGGGTAGGAAGGGAAAAATGAGGAACCTGATACCAAGGGCTCAAATAATAAGTACATGTTTAGAAAATAATGATGCCAACATATGTACAAATATGCTTTACAATTGATGTATGAAATATAAGAGCTATAAGAGCCCTCAATTAAAAAAAAAAGAAAGAAACCAAACTTAATCTATGGTTATCATAAGTGAAGAAGGAAGAGTTTTTGCTTAGGGGGCATTGAGTTCATTATAATGGAGTTCATTATAATGGAGGTGGTACAATTTGGAGAGAGATAACACTAATGGTTGTATAACATGAATAGTATAATCAGTGGCACTGAATAATACCTGTAGAAATTGTTGAATAGGTGAATGTTTTGTTGTGTCATTTTTTGCCAAAATTGAAACAAACAAACAAACATGAATAACAAAGCGTATGGGGGGAAAGAAAATGTTCTATAATGGACTGTGGTGAATTGCACAACCCTTTTGATATAGTTGAACTACTGATTTGTATGATAGGTGGATAAAGTGCCAATAAAACTGCGTGAGTGTGAGTGAGTGTGTGTGTGTGTGTGTGTGTGTGTGTACACACCAGCTATATATATTGTAGAACTTTAAGAAAGAATTCTGTATTTCAAAATTATTTCCCATGGTGTTTACAGTCTCAGTGTAGTACTATTACTCCACCTCTCCTTTAGCCTGGATAAAGAACAGCGTCTTCCAAATCAACTTAAAACAACTCTGTAACTAGAAGAATCCACTTTCTCATATCCTCTGTGGGAGCCTGCCTAGCTCCCTACCAGTTCTGATTGTTAGTTTTAAGATCTGGTCACCACGGCCTCTAGTTCAACGGTCAATTCTTACTTTTAGGGATTCAATCATATTTCTGTGCTTCCAACCATCCTATTCTTTGCTCATTCCTTTCCCTTGCTTCCCAATTCAGAGCTTTCCCTGCATGCGTCTTGCTGTTGTCAGTCATGTGGTGCCTCACTCATACTCTGAGAGTTCATGGGATAACTTGTCACCTTATATGTTCAGTATGTTTATAGATTTTGTTTTGTTCTCAATGGCTATCCTAGTTACTAAGGAGCCTGGTAGCACCGTGAGTTAAACATTGGACTGCTAACCAGAGTAGGTGGTTTAAAACTACCCACTGCTCAGTGAGTGAAAGAGGAGGTTATTTGCTCCCATGAAGATTTAGAGGCTTGGAAAACCTACAGAGCAGTTCCACTCTGTCCTATAGTGTCTCTAGGTCTCAGGATATCTCAATGATAGTCGATGTGAGATTAAAAAACTGCAAAACAAAGGCTTCTGCCTTAGGAAGATGGAATAGATAAACTATACAAAAAAGAGTCACTTAACATAGCAGGCTTGAGGCTGCAAATCTTAGAGTTCTAACAAAGTTGGCCCTTGGTTGACACCTGAGAACTAGACTGGGAAAAAGTTCCATATACTTGACAAGATTAGATAGGCTCACTGTGCCTAGACTACCCAAACAATATGTTTTATGCTAAATGTGATTATCTGATTACCTCCTGAGAGTCTAAATTTTGTATATGTCTTAGGCAGATATATCTATATGACCAGTTTCCATTAAAATCCTTGTGTGCCTAACTTCTTCCCTGGGCAGAAATGCATTTTTGCTGCTGAAAGACGAGCAGGGTCTGCCGGGAAGGAGAGAGAGTGCACATGGAGATCTGCTAGTTCGTTCTTCCAGATCCCTTACACCTTTCTCTCCTGTAATGCAGCTCCGCGTTTTTACTACCTCCCGGAAGTAAATCTCGAATCCCATGAGTTCTGTGAGAAAACCTCTGAGAGGATGGACTGTGTTGCCGTTGGTGTTCGGTGCCATCCAGCAGCCCTATGCAGGACAGAATGAAACACTGCCTGGTCCTGCACCACCTTCACAATTGTGGCAGCCACTGTGTCAAGCCTCTCCTTCAGGGCCTTCCTCTGTTTTGCTGCCACTCTGCTTTACCAAACCTGTTGTCCTTCTCCAGGGACTGGTCTCACCTGACAACATATCCTAATTTTTTATTTTTTATCATTTTATAGAGGCCTTTTACAACTCTTATAACAATCCACACAATTATACCACATTTGTGCATATGTTGCCATCACTTTCAAAGCATTTTCTTTCTACTTAAGCCCTTGGTGTCAGCTCCTCCTTTTTCACTCCCTCACCCACCCTCCCACACTCATGAACTCTTGACAAATTACAAATTATTGTTATTTTCATATCTTGTACCGTCCACTGTCTCCCTTCACCCATGTTTCTGTTGTTTGTGGGGTGGGAGTGGGGTGGGGGTTCTATGTCTTTCCCCCTTTCTTCCCCTTCTTCCCCCAACTGCCCCCACCCTCATACTATCACTACTCCCTTTACTGTTCCTGAGGGGGTTATCTGTCCTGGATTCCATGTGTCAAGAG